CGCTGGCTGGGAGCTGCTGGCTCCGCTCAGTTTTATCGCCTGCCTCTCCCCCTGGGAAAGGAAAGCCCTGCAATATTCGCTGCTCCGCGGCCCTGGGGTACAGGGAAAGGCGAGGGGCTCTTTCTCAGACAGCATCCTTCCTCCTCCTCCCTTCTCGAACTGCGTCAATAAAAGCAAAAGCCGCACCGGCGAGGAATCGAGCTGTCATTTCCTACCGGGATATGATTTTTAAATATTTTTTATTTTATTATTATTCCTACTATTTTGCACCGGAGTTTTGTGCGAGACCTCAAGCAAAGGCACTGCTTGGGCTTCCAAACGCGCAGTCCGCAGGCGCTGGGCCGGCCAGGGAGGCCTGGTCCTGCCCAGGAGGGCCGAGGCAGGGACAGGCGGAGGGAAACAGGCGGCACATGCAGAGCTCCGCGGCGCTGAGCTGATGGAGCATTTAGAAAGAGAGAGGAAACAGAGGAGAGAGACAGGAAAAAAAAAAGGGACTGAAAAGTGGTTGGTGCTGTCGGGCGACGTGGGGCAGGACGAGGACCCCGGAACTTTATCCGGGGAGAGCACCTTGCCTGGGGCCATGGAGCCCTGCGAAACCCAACACCCGAGGGCAGAGAAGGAGCCCGAAAACAGAGGGACTGGGGGAAGTGGAAGAGAAGATCTAAGGGAGGGCCAGGGCACTACCCGAGCCGCGCACGACGCCCCGCTCCTTCGCGGGAGCGTAGCAGCCGCGTACGGCAACGCGCTCGGCTCACTCCTCGTCGCAGCGCTGCTGGCAGGGGAGGAAGGGGCCTTAAGGAGCCTGGAAATGTGGGCTCCCCTTAGGAAACTCTCAGGGAGGGACCGGGGGTGGCGCGGCCGCTACACGGGGCATCCGCGGAGCGCGGAGCGGCCCCGCACGTGGCTATTTCTAGGGCCGCTGCTGCGCGCTCCGGCGCGGGGATTAGTCGGAAGGGTCGGTTTATAACTTCCGCTAAAAATAAGGGAAGCCTTGGGACAAGATGTCCAGCGAAACGTTAGGCTATTTCTGTTCTGACAGACGCGTTGTGGCTCACGAGAGGCTTGCTTGCCTCTCTTATTTTTGTTCCCTAAAGACTCATCCATGCGGAGCAGGCACGGAAGGAATCACAGGGCGGGAAACGCGGTTCTTGACACGGTGGGAGAAGCAAGAGAGTGCAGGGAGAAAGTCTCTCTTCCCTTAATTCAGAAAAGTCTGCACCTCCTCCAAGCGCAGGACTGCATAGGCGCAATCTCCTTCCCTGGTCTTTTAAATTATCGCTGGGAGAGGGTGGAATATGCTCGCATGGAGCGACCAAGGGCAGCTTCTTTACCGCAACTTTGAAAATTAAACTTTCAAAAGGGAAAAAAAATAACATTGGTGAGAATCAGGCTGCGGGGAAGGATGCTCGGGCGCAGACGGAAGATCTACACTAAAAATTCCTTCGGATGGGACCAGAGGGGCCTGGGGACGTGAGGCGGGAGGTGAGCGGGGCTCCTGCATCCCCAGAGGAGAAAAAGGAAGAGAAAAGAAATGAAGAAAAAAATAAGAGAAAAGAAGAGGAAAAAAGAAAGAAAGAAAGAAAGAAAGAGAGAGGGAAAAAAAGAACAAGAACAAGATCAAGAAAAGGAAAGAAAAAGATCTATCTCCCTCATTGCTTCCCTTGTGCACACCCCCGAAAGGTAGAGCAAACCCACCGAAACGAGTTCTCGCAAAGATGCACGGGCAGAGAGATTTGTGTCAGTCTCCAGTGGGAAGGAAGGTTTTCCGCTCTCGCGGGGCTGTTGGTTACTACTAAAATTTTGCGGAACAAGTCGATATCGCGTCGTGATTACAGCTAGGTCGATCGCGATTCACCAACGATTACGACCTGTCTGTAGTGCAATGCAGCGCGGCGCCAGAGAAGCGCCGGGAAAAAAAAAATCCGAAGGTGCGTTTGCTGCTCCCGCTTCCTGCCCTCCTCCCCTCTTCCCGATAACAGGGGACAATTTGGCTGCAGGTTATTTCTAAATGTGAAATGCATGGCGTATTGCAAGAGCCCGCGGTTACTTCGCTGATCAGGTCTTTCGACGCTTCCTGAAGGGGAGATCACAGGTTTTTGGGCAGCTTTCCACCCCCCCCCCCCACCCCCCAATAAATAAATAAATAAAGGTCAGAGGAGCCGGGGACATCCCTCCCCCTGGCACTTCCCGGTGCTCGGCCCTGTCCCTGGACCAGGTGGCCCCAGGTGGCCAGCACAGCAGCCTCGCTTTCCCCTCTCCTGTGCCCGGCAGAGTTTTTCGGGCATATTCCAGATAAAGACTGCGGGAGACTGAGGCACAGGACAAGAGGTGCCGCATGAGACAGGAGGTTTCCCTACCTCCTCCTAGCTCTTCATGTGCGGGAAAACGAATTAATAATAAATAAGGAGGCCTTTTCAGGACGATTCCTGATCGGGATCCCCTTCTGCAAACGGCGACTTTGTGTTCGTATAGACCAAGATGAACAGCCTGGCTTCCCAAAGCTGGGCTGGGCGAGCTCCTTGGAGAGAAGCTCACCAATAAACCCTAGCCGGGCTCACCGAGTGTGGTCCTTAGAAGTCCGAGAGATCCTCTTTCTTCTTGCTCGATCTCTTACTAGAAACCTCCCGTCTCCGAAGAGTCTCAAGGCAGCGGCAGAAATAATCTCCACGGAGAAAGAGAGAGAGAAAGAGAGGAAGAGAGGAAGAGAGAAACAACATTTTAAGCCAGAAATTCGTTGGATCTGTGGACAGGGGCTGCCGCATCCCTTCCCGCGCCGGGCAGCGGGCTGGCCGGGGGCTGCGCCCCCCTCGCAGGAGCGAGAGACTGAGGAAACCTGAGTTCGCCTCCCTCCTCAGCTCAGGGAGATCAACCCGGCTCCTTAGGAAAATAGTTTTATTTTATTTTAATGTCGGGCTTAAGCTGATGTCTTAAAATATAATTGTTTTCAGACTCCGGCTTGCTCGGAATCACTGTTTCACACTCACACGCACACACAGCCTTCTCTGCAGCTCCTGCCTCGGGACTGCCTGGCGTCTGCTAGACAAACTGCAATCTCCGAAATGTCAACTTCTGCCACAATCTCGACTAAAAAAAACACCCCCTTCTTATTGCTGTTGAGCGCTCATCAGAAATAATGGCTGTTTACACAAAACCTTTATTCACTTTCTTAAATAAACGCCAGTGAATTCAAATAAAGCAAACCCTCAGCTATAATTCAGGCACAACGTTTGCTGTGTGTATTCTCGGCTGCGGACCTGGAGAGACTCCTAGGAAAGAAATATGAAATCGCCTTTCATAGTCCACCTCCATTAGCAAAATATTCTAGCTCACCTCGACCGATCTTTTCCTAATCAAGATTTAAAAAAAAAAAAAAAAAAAAAAAAAAAAAAAACCTTGGCTGAAAGGGAGAGATTTCCTGCTTTGTCCCCTGTCTCTCCTCTCCTGACTCCAGAGATAGCATTTGGATGCTTTTATTTTAAATCAACTTGCCCAAGCCCCTTCCCCTCTTCCCAAAGCCCCGACCTGGAGGGGGGAGCTCGGGGGGCCCCGCAGGCACCGTCGGACACGGACACGGGACGCGCTGGGCTTGGAGGGAGCTAGAATGGAGACGCGTTGGGGGGTGAGGGCGGATGAAGGTGAGTCCCCCCCCATCCCCTCCCGCCCTCAGCCCCCTGCTCCCAGGCCGGGACTAGCGGCCCCAGCTCTAATGAGATCCATTAAGCGCATTATTGATGTGGGGGTTTGCTGTGAGGTCCTGGCTGGAGAGAAGCGGAGCTCGGCTGCAGATACAGGCGCTCTGATCTGCACCACCTGGCTGAAACCAGAGAGCCGCCACTTCATTAATGGGTTTAGCCTTTGCTAATTGGTGTCTTTAGGAGCCTTGCCAAATTCTGCTCCGGAATCTTTGGAGGCAGCTTTTGTTTTTCCTTCTGCCGGTGACATTCGTTGACGGCAGTTAGATGCGATACCGCTTCTGCGCCCGCGGGCGGTGAGGAAACCCTAAAGCCCCGACGGGGAGGGCTGCGCCGCCTCCCAGCCCTCCAACCCCGAGCCTCGGCCCCGACGCCCTCTTCGTCCCCATCGCCTGAAAGCCCCAGCGGGCAGAACCTCCCGCCTTCTTCGTCATCATGGTCATGATCACCGTTAGCAAAATGTGAAACTGCCCCTTAGGAAACCCTCTGCCG